TCTTCTTTTTATCAAATATACAGAGCTGTCCTCTATAATGTTTTTTAAATTATATTAACAGTCACTGCATATTATCCCATCATCTTGTTACTTGGTTTATTTTATTAGCCTAAATGTATTAATTGTAGTACACATTAGTACTTAATTTGCACAGAAACGTTTTTGAATATCTAACTAGAGACAAAGTTCAGGAAGAGTGATGATGTGTGAGTTTACAGTCAGCTGCTTTGAGAAGAAACAGAAGAATAAAGCGAAAAGACAGGCAATTATCATACGAAAACAACTAAGATGCATCGGTTTTATAAAAATAGCTTTGAACAAGCCAGCTCAAAATATGAAATCACAGGACTACTTGTGAGGGACTTTACTTGCCTGGAAAAAATACAATTAAATGTGTAGCAGTTTATTGTTTCAATGTAATCATGAGAAAAATACCTGAAAATATGATATGGCATGGATGTGGGGTTGTACAGACTGTAACCACAGAGATTCAGAATGAAACTGGAAGCATTATAATGCAAGTGGGGAAGAAGGAGGAGGACACATTGTAAAAGTCACTGTAACTATAACCAGCAAAAAAATAATCTGCAAAAGATCATTGAAAAACACCTGTGTGATCATAAAAATCCCTGGGAGACTGCTAAAACTTGGTGTTGGAAACACACAAAGATAAAAGATCATTAAACAAAATTCAGGACAACTAGATGTGGTATAACGCAGAAAAGGGTAGCCCTGGGCCACCCTTCCCCTCTCTGGTCACAGGGCAACAGGACTATTTCAACCCTGTGGTCCGAGCGCTGAGCTCAGCCACGCCAGCTGTCCCTGCTCTGTAAGGACTGCTTCTCTGAGCAATGGCTGGCCAGGGGGGCTGTGTATTTCAGCCCTGGCTAAACACATCTCTGCAGCGTAGGAAGGAGCATCACAGAGAGGATTTGTGGCAAGCAGCAAGATCCCTTGCTCCTGTGACAGAGCAGCCTGGGCATTGAAAGAAGTAGTATAATAGATTGCAGGATGGGTTATTTCTTTGTCAGGATAAGAGCCTCGATTTGAGGAAATAAGTATCTGAGAAAATCTTCCACTGAGACTCTTCCACTACCTAGAAAGAAGGAACTTTGTTGTCAGGAAACCCCAAATCTAACGTCTGCGGAACCCCAAGGATTATGAAGAATCAGTACCACTTACACAGCTTCAGCACCCTGCATTAGCTCTGGTCCTGGTGAATGACTTTGTAGTCACAGACTGTCCTCTCAGAATTACATGGAGCAGCTGGAGTGGAGAAAGTGCTCTTCTCTATACAGACCTTTCTCTATACCAACCTCTCTTTAAAATCCTCTAATATGTTTCCTAGCCTGTGTGCAGAATCCAGAATGTATGGGCAGCTGTGTAGAAAAGGCTAACTAACCATGCTTTCTGTGGAAGGGGAAGATGATGACTGAAGAGCACCCATTTCATGCTCAAATGCGATCTAGGCAATCTGGGCAAGAGAAAGGAAAGAGCAAAACACATAGCTCTGGATTAAATCCCGTGCTCATATTGCCAGTTAAAAAAACAAGAGGGAACACAGACATATGAAAGAAATACAGGAGAAAATATCAACAAATTAAAAAGATTATACCACATAATAAGTTAGATGATCTCCAAAGAGAGACAGCACTTGGAGCCAGGTTCGTGTCATTTTGGGGAGCATAAAGGAATTCACCATACCTTGCCTAGAAGGTCATCGTTTCTTTTCAAAAGAACATAGAGTCTGAGAACAATGGCCACTACATGTCTGGTATATGTTTTTTGTTACGGAGTTAAGCAAGGATAATTTTGCCCAGTGTATCTTTTAAGTTCATTCTTGCCAACAACTTGTATAAAAAATAAAATACCGCTGTATATTATCTATGGAAAAACCTTGGGAAAACTTGGCCAAATGGTTAACAGGAAAACACAATTACGTGGAAGTATTTGAATGATCTTAAGTTAGGAAAAAAGGGAGAGGAACAAATGGACGTATTGTCTGAGATGGCTATATTACATATAAGAAAAGTCAAACAAAAGAAAAGATAAACCCTAATACCAGAGGAAGTAATTCCAACAAAAAAAAAAAAAAAAGAAAAAAAGGTAAAAGCCACATTTCTCGAGTCATTTAAATTCCACCACACCAATCACGTTACAAAGCCCTCAGATGGAGAAGCCAAAGCCGGGCAAGGAGACACATTACCTCATCTTGTTGATCTTTTACATTTTTTTGTGTCTATCACCCAACCTTACAGCAACCAACAGTCAACCACAGGTGGGAAAGGAAAAGCCTGTGTCACCAGTAAGCCATCTATTACCTGTACCACAAAAGCATCTTGTATCATTTGTGTTAGGTGTGACATTCCCATTCTTCCTCTACGCATGTGCTGATCATTCTTTCTTTCATATCTTCATCTTGGCTCTTTCTAATTTTTCTCCTGTGATCTTCTTTCTTTTAAACAGAAGCTGAATTAAAAGGGTCTGTTGTTCAGCCTAAGAACTGCAACTTTTGGTCTCAGAATAAGAATATATACCAAAATGTAAGGCATTGCCCACTTAGTACAGTCTGAAAACATGCATATTTTAAATGATTTTTTAATATAAAAATAAAACAATCTTTCATGAGCAATGGTATATCTTTCAGGAGTCAAAACTACCCTTACCACACATTTCATGAGATTATCCCTGGACTATTTCATACCTTCTCACAGGGCTATCTAGACCTGGATTGTCTCTCTGTTCTTGCTCTCTTCACAGTGCTGAAATTGTCTCCATTCATCACCTTTTGACACCTTAACATACATGGTTTCAATTTCATTGTTTCAAATTATTTTCACTTAGAAGCAGTGTGGAAGGAATCCCATCATTGGTTAAGACAAAAGGCTTTCCTATTCTTTTTTCTGGATGGTGCCTGAACAATTGTCAAAAACACTCAAATAACTGACTCATCTTCTAGACCACAGAATGCACCCTCAGAACAAAAAGGTCCTCACTCTCGTTTCCTTCTTTCTTTTCCCTCTACTGTTATTATACTTTCCAATAGTGTTTCCATTCAGCAGGACAGCAGGAAAAAAAAGTGTCCATAACAATATCCTTCTTTGGAAGTCCTGTGCTTCCTTCATGCAGCCAAATTATAAGAAAACTGAGCTTGCTGTCAAAAAGATCTCTCTTCAGATTTCATACATGGCCTATTTTTTTGATCTTGCAGCAGCTCTGCAATTTTTTTTTTCTCTGTCATATAAAATAAGTTGTAATAAATCACTCCCATTGCGATTGTTGGTGTTAGCACGTTGAAGGGAGCAATGCATGTACCACAGTGTTAACCCCAGTGAGTACTGTGGTTGGTAATGGCAGTGCTTGCAAAGATGAATCACCAGCAGGGAAAGCAGTTCAAGAAAAAGGAACACACACACAAAAAAACCAACCCCAAAACAAAACCAAAAGAAACTCCCTCCACCAGAAAGGACATCCAGGGAAGAGATGGGAGTGTAACTGGGAATGTATGTTTTGTAACATATTCTAATTTGAATATGTTGCTCACTGGATGGACTTGCCCTCACGAATTATGATCTGAACATATTTTATTGAATAATGGGATACTCAGGTTTTTCAATGAAAAGTTATGTTTTTGTTCATTTTTCTCACTGCTTCAAATGACGGTTGTACACCTTCCTGTAAAACAGCTTTCCACACATCAGAAGTTCTTACGAATCTTTGCGGGGTTTGATACTTAACGTTTTCTTAACCGTTGCCACACTAGACTAAATGATTGCCTGGGGAAGGATTATCTTTATTTGTGCTTTCCTACCACCTACTATTCTGGAGCCCCAAACTCTGTGGGGACCTTCATGTGAATACTTTCATACAAATCATGTCCATCATCCCTCTGACCACTGACAGCAAAGGCAAGAAACACACCACTGTGACACACAGGACAGAGCAAAAGAGAACAGTGCTCCAAGAGAGAAATGATTCCCCTTGAACTGTTTCCCACCCTATGTGAAAGAAGAAAGGGTGAGTCTTAGTCTTTTCTTCTAGCTAGGGAGAGGTTGAAATACTCAAGCTAGCTGCTACGCTATCAAGTATTGCACAGGGAGATAGAGGGAGACTTTGCAAATGGGCTGGCTGGCTCACTACATTTTAAGAACTTTATGAATTGTTAAAAAGCTCTTCCCCTCAGAATGGCTCCAGGTGAACAGCACATGGTGCTGGCAGCAGCATGTGACCCTCCTATTTCAGTATTCTACTTGAATACAAGATGGGTCTGGAAAAGAAAGGACAAGCACAATGGCTTTTCAGAAAGAAATCACCTTCTTTCCAGCTTCTTAAGGGTCAAGGCTCAAACAACTGGAGGGCCAGTCCACAACCATTCTCTCAATCAACCAGCCAGCTGGAAAATATTACTGTTCTTCACAAGCAAAGGGCTCAGTTACTAGAGTGGTCCTTTTGCTACTTCCTTCATTTTCACATCTTCTGTGAAGAATAAGTTATGAACTATATTAACTAGAGACAAGGGGTTTTTTGCTAAGCCCCAGCATAACAATCCAACCAATATCTGTCAATCACCTTTTGTCTCAATAGCAGAGAGCAACTCCAACCCTTGCCTTCATTCGGGAAATGGTAGATAGGAAGAGATAGAAATCAAAATAAACACTATAACCTGATGTTTAAAGCTGTTAGGTTTTCTTAAGAACACCTAATGTAAGAATACCCGGAGTACCTTAAATTTCAAAAGGACGTTAGGGTATTCTGAGAGGGGAAAATATGTTCACATTTTAGAACACTGTGCATGTCTGAGAGTTAAACAAATCAGAACTACCTACAAATGAACAATACAGTTTTCCCCTTGGTGGACTCTACCACTGTTTCCCTAAACATTAAGAGTCAAAGTGTGTTCGCTATCAGCCAGGCACCTACCCTGTCACTGTACATTCACATTAAAAAACCCTCTTTCCAGTGCGCGTTACTCATAAATGTGCTCAATCAGACTGACTCTCTGCCCCTTTATGTTCTAAGGTGAATTAGGAAAGGGTCTGTTAAAGGATGATACAGGCCATTCTTTTGTGATGGTCTGCAGTTTTCTCTCCCAATACATTTTCTTTTTATTTAGCACTTCCATCTTTATCCTGTGTTCCTCTTCGGCCATCTCACACTCTCTTTCTATTTGCTGTATTTTTGCCACATGAACTTCATTCATTTGGATTAACTGCAGTTGCAAAATTGACATTTGCTGATGATGTTCTTCCTCGTGCATCTTTTTCAGAGCACTTTCCTGAGATGCTTTACTTCTGTAGTTCTTATCTGCTGCTATTCTGACATCAGAACACGAAGGCTCAGGTTGGGAGGTACCTTCACATACTGGGAAATGTACTAGCTCTTTCTCTTCATCACAAAGTTCTCTATTTGAGACAACAAATGACTCTGCAAAACATAAGAGGAAAAAGTATTATAGTATTCCTTTCTTCTCCCTCAAGAAACATGAACTTGTGATAATATAGTTATTGGTGTATGCCTCTAAACCCTGTGCTTCTGTACCGTAGTACAGGAGCCACTACATAATGCAGTTCTGTTACAGAATACTAAAGGCATAATGGTCTGAACTGAACCACTTTGGGCTCTACTGGTAGACCTCCATGGCTATAACGAGAGCTCGGAATACTAAAGTGAATGTAGACATTTATAAGTGGACACCTAAATTTAGGTGGCTGAGCCTGGAGCTGAACCTTAATGCAGCTGTTTAAGCCAAAATCGTATGTGACTTGCAATATTTTTATGAAAGATCTGTGTCAGGTGAAGAGCTGTATCAACACAAATACCAAGTGACTGAGGGAATACTAGGAAGAATACTACTTATTCCTTCCTTATCACTACTGTACATGTCGTAAACGCAGCGGTGTATATTTTTAAGAAAAAATTACATTATTCTAACTTTGAGAAGGTTCTACCAATTCTTCTGAAATAAAAGAAGCTACTCACGGAATAAAATAGTTACCACTGCAAATAAGGGTCTCAAAATACATTCCTTTGCAAATCCTGATGACTACTTATGGTAAATACAATTATGAAAGAGACATTGTAAGAATGTTATCTAACAAAGTAGTTACTGTTGTCTTTTGAGCAAGGACATTCTTCTGTGTGAGATCCTGACATAATAAAATTTGCAAGAAACCGCTGTAGCCACCCTCCCTTCTGGTTTTGGATTATTCCTTCTGTGTATGCTTGCCAAACACAGAAGAATGTAGTGCTGAACTTTTTCAGAAAGGCCATTCTCCAATGTGGACTGCAGTGTGAAATATGGCCCTACGTACTCTTTTTAGTCCATGAAAACAAAGGAGGAAAGACCTACAGGGAACTCTTGCAGCAGACAATTGTGTATCAATTTGCTGCTGGTGGCTTTTTTTTTTTTTTTTTTTTTAATGCTCAATCTTTTCCCATCAAAATGATACTTTATAAAGGATCAAAATATCCTCGGGACTGTTCCCTGGAAAGCCAGCATGATAGCTACTGTGATGCTTGCCACAAAGTAGCAGATATGTCAAAAACTGATGAAAAAAAAAAAGAGTAAAACCTCAGTTTAACTCCTGGGGGCCTAGGGAAATACACAGAGTCTTGTAATATCATAGCTCTGAAATTACTTTTTTATAACCAGGAGTCACAGCTAAGTGGAGAGATTTAGACTGCTGAAAGAGAATCACTGGCAAAACCACATACAAAACAATACTATTTTCGTCATTACAGTAACATTTATACCTTGACTAGAAGCATCAGGCTGATATTCAGAATCTTCTTCTGGTGGGCTCTGCAAAAAGTACATTTGCTCAGGCATTATGCTGGCAATCTTCTCTTTCCCTATGATGTGAGTATTTATAAGTGGACTAATACTTCTTTTTACCTTCTCCCGCCTTTCATGTGCCATTATCTTTTTTGTCCGTGCCTTGATATTTTCCCAGCATTTCTTTAACTGTTTGAAGTCTCGCAGTGATACACTGGGCTGTGAATTATATTCATGAGCTAGTGCTTGCCAGGTACGTTGTTTCAGAGCAATAGTTCTTGCATCACTTTTTTTACATTCAAGCACGTATTTGTATTTTTCAACTAACGCAAGCAGCACACTCTTCTCCACTTCTGAGAAGTATTTAGCAGGCTTTATTATTTCGTTTTGCATTTTCTACTGTTTCTCCAAGAAGCCAAAAATCCTATGAAAACAATGTTGAAAGCAAAAAAACAAACACAAATTAGAACTGGTTACAGTATCAGGAAACTGCGTTTCAGCAAATAACTCCTAAGCATAGATTCTGATTCTAACACACTTCTTTTTCTAGAATAGTTTGTGAGTAGTTCCAGAGTACTTAATGAAACATTCAGGTAAGATATAGTATAATTATACGGTGTTTTCTATTGCCACTTTAGCGGCTACACAGTTACAGAAGTATACCATAATGAGGAGAAGTCTTGTCTTTGTTACAATTTGTCTTGATACAAAATACTCAGTATTCAATTTACTTAGTAACTTGTTTTTAATAACTTGTTTTCCTACTCATTGACTTTGTTACACCCAGCGAGTTTTCAAAGCCCTGAACTGTGGAACAAGTTCTGAAATCCAGCCCTTGACAGCTTCAGGTTTAAGTCTAAAGCCACCTTCAGCAAGCTTGGGTTTCCTTTGGTACACAAAAGACCCTCTTCTGCCCTTGCTGACTGCATATAACTAATTTCTCCCCTCTCTCTACAATATTTGAAAGTTGTATAGAAATGATAGTAAGAAGTTCTCTTTTTGAAGACTTCTGTCGGTTTGGTTATCCCCCATGCTCAGCCCTCCTTGAGTGACACCCAACAGGCAGGAGGATCGTGACCAGTATTACAATACTGAGAAGAGGCAAGGGGTGCAAGAAGACATGAATTAATTATGGAAATTAACCGCTCTGAAGCTACAAGTCCTTCACCCTTTACTGCTGACTCTGCCTGTGTGGGACTCTTCCTTAGGCTTGCACTTCCTTAGGTCACTCTCAGGAGCAAACGACCAGGCTAAAAAGAGTTTTGGCCGCACTCAGTACTGCTATATACTTACACTATGTTAACAACTGCCTCTCTTCTCAAGCCTAGGACTTACGTAGTCAATAGGAAGAGGGTAGCTGATACCAGGGAATTCTTAGCCATAAAAAAATGAATAAAGCAGTGTTTCCTTGAATTATTAACACATGACTGTGCTGCAAAGTGCAGTTTTTTCTTTTATCTTTCTACACGTCTTTCCTCATTGCCTCCTACTACAACTGTGTAGCCCCAATTACTTTTACACTTTGGGCAGAAACTTCTGGATAATTAAGTAGAAAAAAGGGGAGCAATGCTGTCTTAGCTCACATTTCTTCTGGTTTTAATCATAAAACTCAGAGATGGAACATATATAATAAGATAATTGGTTCATATTCTTAACAGTCTAGGATTCTCCCAAAATGAATTTTCTAGTATTTTGCCCATTGTTTCCACTACTTCCCTCATAACATTGCTTGAAGATGCAGTAGATAGCACATCAGATTTCCTCTTTTCAATATTTTTTCCTTAACTCCATTGCACTAGCACTCTCTTCGTACCATCCTTGTAATTCCTTTCCTCCAAACATCTTAATACTTACAGTTATTCTCACCTCTTTCAGTGAAGGTAACTACTTATATTTACAAAGAAAGCTAACAGACAGGCTAATACCAAAATGAGAACCCAACTCTGACATAAGAACAGAAGCTTTCTGAAGTTGCCCACAAAATATGACAAAACCCAGCAAAACAAAGACAAGGAGTCAAAGAATAGAGGAGGCAGTAGAACAAAGCCTAGAATAGCAAAACTGAAACAAAGTTAATAGAAATAAGTAATAGTCTGAGTTTAAGTTAAGTATGTTAAGTCAGTAGCAGTAGCTAAGTTGTACCCCTACTGAAAAAGAGGCAACAAACACTCAGTTTGTACTTTCTGTCACTGCTCGACTGGGTAATCACCGGGCATGTACCGACTGGACAGCCAGCACCTATGTGTTTGCTGGCTAGTCACAGTTCTGCTGTCTCTTGTCAAATGCTGCTGTCATGAGGACATGGGAGAGCTGGAGTTTTTGCAGCAGACAGGATTTAGGGGACAAAGGGAGAGATCCACAGGAAACCAGACTTTATTAGTTCTGCTGCTCGCTGAACAGCTTGTTTATTTTGCAAGAAAGAAAAAGGTGGAAGAAGGAAGAGAGCTGGGTGGCTGAGCATAGGGAAGACAGTTCCCTGATCAGCATTTACTCCATCACACTATATCAAGTTATTTATTGCTCTCTGTGAAAACTTAGTCACCCCACGTGTTGGTGACAGGAATTCTTAAACACTTATAATCCCACAGAACACACTAAGTGTATGTAAACAAACTTGAAAGTATCACATACCAATCATTATAATGTCTAGGTCTAATAGACAGAAGAGAACATCTGCTTCAGAAGTTCCTTAAATAAAAAATAAATTTAAAAAATAAGCAAAAAGTCAAGAAAGGGACATCCAACAAAGAGATACTGAAAACTGGCAACTTCGATCCATAAAAAAGCTCTCAAAACGTGTAAAATAGAAGAGATGTATAATGAAACGGACTCTATCTACTAATCTATTTTACTTATGTATTTATTGTACCATTCCAAACCATTGAGCTGCTTTGGGCAGCTGCTGAAATGAAACTCAAACTGTCTTAGTTTCACTGAGGAACAGGATGAAAAGCAGTCCCACCAGCAAGTCATAAGGTCCAATACCTTATGACCCTGAAAAACTAGGATCAGAGACTCTGTGTGATCAGAAATGGCTGATTCTGCCTTCCACTGATGCATGTAAATCTTATTTCTAGCTTTGAAAAGGTGTGAGAATCTCAGACCAAAAATCATGACATGTTTGTGTGTAGAAAATCCCTTCGATTAGAAAAACAATGGATTTTCAAGAACTTTGGAGACCAAATTCAGAAAGTTAAACAATGATACCAGGACTTCTGGATTCCAGGTGCTACACAGATTGGCAGAGATCAACTGATATCAGTAAATATTTAAAACATTTCCAGGTATGACTTCATATATATTAACAACCTATGTACTAGGATAAAAGCTCATCTTTCATGGATGGAGCCACAGCAAACCCATATCACTTTCATACCACACTATCAGTTATTACTATGATTTTTACTGTGGTAGCATCTGAGATCCCCAGTCATAAGCTCAAATACTGTACATTTAAGAATGGAAATGTAGGTCCTACTCCGAGAAGAATACAATATATTAGTCTTCACTTCTCCCATACACATTCCTAACTATTTTTTTCCTACACATACACACCGTACTTACGTCCTTTCTATCAAAAAGCCGGGATTATGATCTAGGATGCATAAAAGAACTCAAGAACTGGTGAAAGCAGTTTAATGCACTTACTACACAGAAGAAAAGAGTTCTTGAAGATTCTTTTCAAGCTCTTACATGCTTAGCCTGCTTGCTTCAGTATATTAAAGCCTATTTTCAATTAGGTGAACAGAAAGCACTTTCAGATGTCAGAGAACTTCAAATACTGAGAAGTTGCAGCAAAACACCACCATATATTTATATTCACCTCTTTTTCTTCATGCATATCCATCACGTTCTAGCAGCCCACTGGCTCCTCTGCAGAATATGAGAAAGGACTCTCACAAGCCCAAACAATTTCCATTTCAAGGCTAAAAGATCCTTCCAGGACATATGCCCAGGATATAATTTAGCATATAGGAACCTGTGCTGAAATGGAAGCAGTTTACTGGGTGTAGCGCACACAGTAAACAGAATTGATTTGGGAATGTCTAGGCACATGGGAACAGTTGCACAGCAAATTCTAAGAATCAAAGAATGGAAGGCTTCTCCCACACTTACAGGTGCCAGGCTCTAAGACACGTGCAGTAAGGAAGTACTTTTTCCTAAATATCTTCTCCTGGCATGGCTCAATTCACAACTTGCACTAACACGAATCAGTGTCCTAAGTACCTGTCCTCTCATACTAACCTTTATTGCTTTAAAATAACAAAAATATCTCTCAACTCCTCATTTTTACTTTGAAATGTTGTGTGGCATTCTTCTTTTAAAGACTATAAGGGATGTGATCTGCTGGAAGAATATCTTGAAAAAAGATTACACAAGTGAAGGAGTGCACATATGTTCATAAATATGTATATATGTATTATTTTGCTTGCACACACCTAAACATATACCCAAACTCCAACCAGTTGCAAAGAAGCCCATTTAAAAAAAAAAAAAAAAAATCATTTCAGGTTGGCACGTGTGAGCGTTTTCAGTCCCTGAAATATTTTTTTAGGCATAAGAAAATGCAAAGAGAAAGTTATGGTGGAAGACTTAACCCAAATGTTAAGGTTACACTAACCAAACCCAAACAAAATAGTTTGCTAGCAAACTGCGGTCACTTATGGTGTGAAAATGGAATTCATTTACCAATGCCAACAGGATTACTATCAGAAATAGTTAAGGATTGAAAAACAGAAAATTTACTTATCCGACTTAAATTGCAGATGAAGCTTTAAGCATAGTCAGTAATTAACAGCATTGGAAATCAGTCATAATTCTGTCCTTTTCATCTAGTGTTTGATGGTGAAAGAAAGGCGTGGAAAGGCAATGACCCAAACTAGTCACAACAACAGGTTTATATTTCATTTGAATGACAGAACCAGCAGTAAACAGTGCCTTCTTCCTCAAATGTTAGGTTTTCCTCACAGAGCTTCCATCAGAGTGTTCCAGGCCTGACCCTATCTACCTTGAGACTTGAAATCACTAGGTAATTAGGTGCATATTACAAATATGAATGAGATCTACCTGGAAATTGTGTTACATATAATCAGATAAAAGAAAAACTCTTTGGGTGCTTCTCCCCC